GAAAATGACGAAGTGTGCTCCTGATGTCCAGTCTGCTCCGTAGCTTTGTTTTGGTCGCTGTAACCGCAGAAAATCCCGCCTCACAAAGATAGGATGTTATAGATAGGATGAGTCTTGAACTGAATTAACCTGTGACAAGATGCACAAATGCACCGACTGATGTATTTGGGAGAGAATACTGCAATTTTTTATATTTTTCAAAATAAAACATCACTCAGACTGATCGTTGATAAATTATATATATATATATATATGTATACTTTTTTCTGTGCGGCCCGGTACCAAATGACCCACGGACCGGTACCGGTCTGCCGCCCGGTGGTTGGGGACCGCTGATTTAGACTATGGCTTTAAGCAAAGTCAATAATCACTAACCAAAGAAATTGTCTCAAATGATACTCAAAAGAGGGTGGATCTGGCCTGAGTGATAAATCATTCACTGCATAAAATAACCACAAAAGACCACAGGTTAACATACAATGGTACCTAATTAGTTAATAATTCAATCACATCATCATTTTATCTAAAAACTTTGCAAATACTAACCACTACTGAAAATAAGGAAATGTAAAGGGAAATAAAAATGGGGAAAATGGTTTTGGAAGTTTGTTCAAGAGTCTCTAAGAATATTAAGGTTTAAGGCTCAATGCATTCAGGGTGTCCTTTAAAATAGCAGCAGATAAATGATTAACTCTGATGCAGAGATATTAAATGCAATCAAAACAGTAAAGATTTACTGTGAAGTTTTACAGTAAGAAATGTACGATGACTCAGGAATTCATTAAATATAGTGACGCTGGAAAGGATGGGTTAGTTCAGCTGGCATAACCGGTTTTGAGGCAGGCCAGCTAGAACAGCAGGGTTAGAAAACTCACAAAAAAGGGACGGCAATAAGGTAGCTTGGAACTAACAATGCTAGCCAGTCTAACCTTAGTAGCCTAACTCTTCAAAGAATCACACAACTTGGATCTTTCAGTCAGGCTCAGAAAGCATTTGTATTCAGTTCACAACCTTTACTTAACCCTTATCAGGACTTGAATCAGAAAGCTTCTTTCAGATAAAATACCAAAATCACATGTAAAAATATCTCTTATACCTGTTTGTCACCCAAGCAGAGTATTTAAAATGAAAAATAGGGGAAAGGAGGTTTACTTGTCGGCTAAGTGGAATGGAGGAGACAAGGTTTTGGTTCATTTTGACTTGGTTTGGTTCATCAGGAACACATTTGCTTATCCAACAGGCAGCTCTCAGAGATTTGATTTATCCTGATGCAAACAACAGAGGCAGATCAACAGGGCTTAATTTCATCACTTACAGCAGCTTTAGCAAGGGTGTCCTCTTTAAACTATGGTGGGTAGCTTTTAGCGGCAGCTCAGACAACAGCAGCAGAGCTCCAAACAGAAGCTGAAACAGTGGGTCTGTCATGATTTTATCTAGAGCTCGGACCCACATGCAGAGAAACCAATTTAGAGAGACAAGGGGAAAGGTTTAACAGGTTTATTGAAGAGATAATGCTGAATTAAGTGTTGCTCTGAACACTGCTCAACCAGAACTGAAAAGTGAGGGTAAGACACATTGGTTAGTTCAGGCTCAGTAGGAAATTTGGTTCTTGAACTTGAAGAGGAGAATTTGGTTGCTGACTCAAGTTTTTGACTCTTTGACTCCAGTCTGTGTGCGGTAGTTCCAGTGTTTGTCTGATACGGTGGAGGGCAAAACAGGGTTTACCCAGAATACGGTTGTTTGTAGGTGAACGGAGAAGCTGACTGTCACTCAGATTTACTGCGGTACTTGAACGGGTCGTAGTGGAGATGAATCCCTTGCTCGGTGTGAAGCTCAAACGATCTCTGGAGGGGAAGTGGTTTCAAACCTCCAGTTTAAATCCCCAGCTCAGTTTTAAGCTCAGATGATCCTTCCAGGGAGAGAAGGTCCGAAACATCCAGTTTGCAGGATGACTTCCTACGAGAGGCAAAAACAAAAAAAACAAGATTAAGACTCAGGTTGACAAGAACTCAGTTTGACTCAGCAAAACTCAGCTTGGCTAGAGTACCCAAAACTGGCAAACAATCTGGCGTCGAGGTAGCAGCAGTCAGCAGCTTAAGAGCGCTACGTTAACGAGGTAACCCTCTGCAGGTGTGTGGGGAGGCGAACCAGAACCAGGCGCCTCCTGGTGGAGGAAGGGAGACAAACACAGAAACACAAACACACCTGACAGGGTCACAGTCCAGCATTTTCACAGTTAAAGGCAGCAGCAAAACCAGTGTGGCACAGGTCAGCTGCTTATAGCAACCCATAGCAGCTCCTTGGTAAACTGTAATCTAACCCGGCTGTTATGTGGGCAACTTGGGTCGATCAGAATTGGATAGTTTTCTCATCTGCTTCAGCAGGTGGGTTCATAAAACATTGTGTTCAACCTGGTTGGAAACGCAGGAAAAACAAGATGCTACGTCCAGCTCTTTTTCTGAATTGTAGGCAGCATGTAGTCTGGCTCAGTCCAGCGAGCACAGACTCTTCTCCAGAGGGGATTTGGTGGCTACGTGTGTAGCCACAGCTAAAAAGCGTCATATGACTCCCCTATTGAGGCCCTGAAGCCACAGGCAAGAGAAAGCTGAATGAGGGTCGGTCGCTTGAGAAATATCTGTCGCAGGGATGTGACGTCAGGGGGGAATCTCTTTACATAATTGACATCGGTCTGCAACACAGTCCACAAATCTTGGGGGAGTGTTGGCCTAATGGTTGGAGCAGTGTGCTTGTGCTCTGAGAAGGTTGCAAGTATCAGTTTTTATCCCCATAGCCTCCACTCTGGTTTCCAGAGCAACACGCTTAACCCCCCACTGCTCCCCGTGTGCCGAATGATGGCAGCCAACGGCTCCCCAAGGGTATGGGTTAAATGCCAATTTTCATATTGTGGGACAATAAAGGGATTTACAATTTGCAATTACAATTATCTAAAGTAACAACAATTAAGTTGTTGTTAGACTAAAATCTTCAAAATTCCGATTCTTCAATTTGAAAACAAGACTTAAAAGTGAAGGGTAGAGTTAAATTCAGTCCATTAATGCCTGCTCTCTGTAAATATTAAACTGATCGCTATTCTTTGTGGTAATAATCTTATTATCGTGGTACAGTGCAATGATTAATTTCAATATTACCATCATTTAAAATGTTAAAACTATCTTAGTTTATATCAAGTCTTTGGAGAGACCAAGGCTTTATCTTTTCTGTACCTGTAATGTCATTGATGATGAGCAACCATAGAATGCTGACCCGTTCAATTTTTCTTTTTTTATCTTTTGTTTTGTACTTTTTTTCTGGAAAAACAAAGTGTAAAATAGGAATATGCAAAAAAAAATTTCATAACATTATCATTATAGTTGTATCAACTTGTAGAGCCTGAGCTTCACAGCCAAAACTTTCAAGTAGTTATCCGTTGCCACATACATTTAAAGGGGTGATTCTATAGGGTATCTGGTCCTTCAGGTCTCTGA